ATGATCAGAGGATTAGATAGGGTGGACAGTGGGAGCCTTTTTCCTCGTATGGTGATGGCTAGCACGAGGGGCCATAGCTTTAAATTGAGGGGTGATAGATATAGGACAGATGTCAGAGGTAGATTCTTTACTCAGAGAGTAGTAAGGGCGTGGAATGCCCTGCCTGCAAAAATAGTAGACTCGCCCACTTTAAGGGCATTTAAATGGTCATTGGATAAACATATGGATGATAATGGAATAGTTTAGGTTAGATGGGCTTCAGATTGGTTTCACAGGTCGGCGCAACATCGAGGGCCGAAGGGCCTGTACTGCGCTGTAATGTTCTATGTTCTATGTTCATTGGCCCATCTGCTCAAGGTCTCGTTGTACTTTGATGTAACCTTCTTCACTGTCCACCATTCCAACCAATTTTGGTGTCATCTGCAATCTTACTAACCATACCTCCTATATTCACATCCAGATCATTTATGTAAATGACAAATGGACCCAGCACCAATTCTTGCAGCCCAACCTGGTCATAGGCCTCCAGTCTGAAAAACATCCCTTCACCACTGTCCTCTGTCTCCTAACTTCAAGCCAATTTTGTATCCAGTTAGATGGCTCCCTGTTGCTGAAAGTTATTTAGGGATATCTTGCTGCAATTCTACAGGCTGTTGGTGAGACCACACCTGGAATATTGTATGCCGTTTTGGTCTCCTTTTCTGAGGAAGGATGCTCTTTCTATAGAGGGACTGCAGTGAAGATTTACCAGACTGATTCCTGGGATGGTGGGACAGATGTATGAGGAGTAGTTGAATCGCTTGGGATTATATTCGCTGGAGTTCAGGGGGAAATTTTATGGAAACATAAACTAGACCGGAAGGATGTTCCCGATGACAGAGATCTGCAGAAAACAACCAGGTCTCTCAGCCCAATAACATGGGGTGAACTATTTATGACTGAATGAGGAGAAATGTTTTCACCCAGAGAGTGGTAAATCTGTGGAATTCGCTTCCACAGCAAGCAGTTGAGGTCAGTAAGTTGTATGATTTCAACAAGGAGTTGGATAATAGCACTTGGTGCTAAAGGCATCAGGAAACTGGGAAGGGGCAGGGAAGCAGGAACAGGCTATTGAGTTGATCAGCCATGAATAATGAATGGAAGAGTATTGTGTTTCGATGTTAAGTAAAAATGGCAAAGTTATTCACAAAAATATAGATGCGAAGGCTTGAAGTAAGGATAAAAAATACATATGAAGGTGAAATTGAGATCAGTGTCTGACTATTATTGTTGCAGGACCAACTTGCTTGAAGGTGTTCTTTCTGAAGTGAACGTTTGAAACTTGAACTCTGATTCAGCAGCTATGATGGCTTCTGTCATCAAATAGTTTCATGTTCTCACAGGTGCACTTGGTACGTAGACCATGACCTGGCTTTGAGTGATGGTCCTTTGTTTCATTTTTACATCATTGCAGGTTGTGGCTGTTGTAGCCTGGTTCAGTGCAGCAGTCCTTTCACTGTACATTTTGATCTGGATGCTTCCCTTATCCCTGTTGCAATTGCTAGTTCTGGATGTCTGTCACGTTGACCAGATAGTTTGAACCTTTTATCACAAACAAGCACCACGACTGCAAATGGTAACTCTGAGAAATCGTGATTGATTCCATGAAGCAAAATCAGTTGTGCTAGAATTCCTTGTGATGTCCCTCCTGTCTTCTGTTCAACATGATAGAAGTTTTGAGTCTTTAAACTTGGGTATCAATGGACAGCCTGGAATCCCTGGATTACTTAAAAATCAATCACAAAAGGATCATCAACACAGGTATTCTGCTTTGGCTGCAGTTGATGACACGAGAAGTCATGCAATTTTGTAAGACTCGTTATGGCCATTTTAAAGGCAGACAAGCTCTCTTTACAAAATATATGGTTGCATGTTTGTGACAAAAGTTACAAATTTTATAACGACCATTATTTGTTGGATTTTAACTGCTTGCTTTATATGTATTTTCCCTCCTCTTACAGGCTGTTGCTGTATTTTAGATGGCCAAGAGACAAAGGAATAAATGCACTGCCGGCAATGCTGTGTTTCATCACGGTTAACTACGTGACCAATGAATTCCGTCTCACCTTCCTCCATTCAATATGTCCAAAGCCAGGAAGACCTGCGTCCCTCGGGCCCAAAGAGGCAATTTCCCAGCGATCACAAGAACGGCTGGGACAGCCACTGTAATTTGACAGAGAAGCCCCAACACACTGAACCAGATGAGGTAGACAAGATAAAAGCTAAGCTGATGACAGCATGGAACAATGTCAAATATGGTGAGAACTTTTCGGATGGGAATGTCTCCACAACTTCCTGACGTTGTTCTTTTCCTCTTTGTTTGCTGCCCAGATTGGAAAGGGCTCTGTCACATCTGCTGCCCTACCTCCCATTACTTTGTCTAAATGACTGTTGCAAGACATTATGGACTCAGTTGATTTTCTCATATGTTTATTGGATCTGAAGCCAGGAGCTTGGTAATGCTGGTTACCCCTATGGTCTAATTGACTACCTCTACACAGACTGGGAATTAAAACCCCTGCTTCCCTTCCCTGCAGGCCTGTTCTCAATAAGTTAGAATTCTTATTTTTTGTGATATATTGAGAGCCGGCAGTCATGATCAGGAAATAAAGTGCTGGGAGAAATTCAACAGGTCTGGCAGCATCTGTGGAGAGAAATCAGAGTTAACATTTTGAGTCCAATATGATTCTTAGGCAGTGATGATCAGGGAACTTACTTGGACACTTTCTAGATCCTGACAGCATGAGAAAAACAACTGTGTGTCATAAAATTTGGATTTAATCTGTCCAACTCCATCTGGAAATACTATCATCCTCTTGCCCTCAGCCAGTGGTATTGTCAGCACAGAGGGTGGAGAGGATTATCCTCAGTAATCAGTTGTGTTAATTGTTACTTTTGTGTCTTCACAGGTTGGGTTGTGAAAGGGAGAACAAATTTCAGCAAAACATCCCCCATTTTCCTTCTCGGCCGGTGCTACTGCTTTGAGTCAGAAGGTATTTTGTGCCCCTCTGGGGCCAGAACTCACTGATTTTGTAAGCCACTCACTGATTTTGTAAGCCACTAACTGTCTGAACTGCTAATAATACTGTCATCTGCTTCCCTTTCTCAGCAGCTGATTCGCCATCAGACTCAGACACCAGTTACGAGACAGGCAACAACCAAAATTCCCCTCCTACCTCGGTGGAATTGTTCCGGAAGGACTTTGCCTCACGGATCTGGTTGACGTACAGGCGTGAATTTCCTCAGCTGGAGGGTTCGGTATGGACCACAGACTGTGGTTGGGGTTGCATGTTACGCAGTGGCCAGATGTTATTGGCTCAGGGACTTCTTGTTCATCTTCTGTCTCGAAGTAAGTCTTGTCCCTTTGTTTTATGCTTTTCTGTCTCCTCTGCTGCCTTGACTGCCTGTTGTTCGGGCGGCACTCTTAAGATGTGAACAACGATTGTCCAGATTGTCAGTTTTATCTCTGGAAGTGTTTGAAACAATTACTGTAACTAATTACCCGGGAGGGGCTGTGAAGCCAAATGCTATCCTGCTTTTTCCTTTTATCTGACGAAGGAGCAGCGCTCCGAAAGCTTGTGATTTCAAATAAACCTGTTGGCCTATACCTGGTGTCATGTGATTTCTGACCTTGTCCACCCCAGTCCAATATTGGCACCTCCATGTCACTGCTTTTTCTTGACATTTACATACTTGCCTATGGGCATTGGAGAGTAGTATAATCAGTAATCATGCCTGCTATCTCTCCTTCTGTCCACTCCACCGCCGCCGCCACCACCACCACCTCCACCACCACCACCCACAAATTGTAGCCCACAATTCACAGCCGCAATTGCTGCCAGTTAAGAACACTGAACTTTGGTTGGATTTGGTTTATGTAAATATAACACAGCTGTTGACTAGTGTGTAGAGCTGGATGAACACAGCAGGCCAAGCAGCATCATAGGAGCAGGAAGGCTGACGTTTCGGGCCTAGACCCTTCATCAGAAAATTTGTCCGGAGGGAGGAGGGTAACTTCTTCAGGCTAGGCATCCTTA